TTTGATGGACATGACACTGCCGAGGACTACCAAACCCTTCTGGAGGATCATGAGCACCTGATGCTCAAACCGTGTATCAGCATGATCATGCACCAACACACACAGCAAGACTTGTGACAGAAGGGTTTGATGAAGATGAAAGTGATGTTGAACATGAACAGTCACCAGATCTAAATATTATTGAGGTGTTTTGGAGGAGCGAGTCCACCAGCATCATATAGTGACCTGGACACTGTTCTGGAAGAGGAACGGCTCATAATCCCTCTGGTCACTGTGAAGGACGTCTATCTGTCATTCCCAAGATTAATTGGTGCTGTATTTGGATGCAAAATGAGGCCCTCACCATACTAACAAATTATTGTGTTGTAAAAGCAGGTGTTTCAGTTTCATTGTCCAACCCCTGTACATCTAAATGCCAAAGCCAATGCCTTGAGGTGTATAATGTGATTGTGATACCTCACTCTCTCACATATTCCATCACTCTCGGATGGTATGTGTGTGTATATATATATATATATATATATTGTGCGTAAATTGTCAGACAACCACAACCTCAAATAAGAGGTGTCTGACTCTATAAAATAGCTATAGAGAACATGGATGTTGAAAGTCTGAACAAATTATAATATAAAGAACAAATAACATAGGCTACCTGTATTAAATACCATCCAGAGTGATGGAATACGTGAGAGAGTGAGACTGAGATATATGTAGCCTATCATATCATACAAAGTTTAAAACATTTAAATAGACAAAAATATGTATCTTGATTATTAAGCTACTCTTGACAGAGAGCTGGTTAGGTTTTCAAGAGACATGTGGAGATGGAAAGCGATTGTTTGATTTGCGACCTTGCTGTGCTTCTATTCATTCGTCTATCATATTGTAGAAATCACACATGGTTTAATAATTTCAACATATCAAATAGAACGTGTATGATGTAGTATTTTATTTAATTCACTCTTGCCAAACTTTGATTTCTGTGAGATACACAGAGAGGCAACAGCAGGCATTTGATTTGCGCTAATTTTACAGTGTTTACACATTCACTTTACACACTCATTGTTGCGCAGTGATCTTAGAGGTTTATTTATAATACCGTGCTTTCCCCTGGCTCACCAGTTATCCATTAAACACGAGGAGTGACTCTTTTCCACCAACTCTCGGCCCCGTCCTGCTTCTCGACACAGTGTGCTAAGAGACTTCTTTTTAAAACATTTAAAAACCTTACCGACCCCAAACTTTTGAACAGTAGTGCATACATACTCTGTCTCTTTGACTGACATTACAAGGATGGAATAACACACATGATGTTTGCAATGTGCACTCTGACTAACACTTAGCATTTCAGAGGGACAGCAGATTAAAATGTAAAGCAAACAAGTCCGCCACAGCGATCTCATCTATCCCACTCTTTTTTTTCCCCCTTCATGCTCACACCTTCAACAATAAGGGGCAAATTGCTTCAGTACAGTACAACTGCCTTGCCTGACAGGTTGGATGTTGTTCTTTTTACGTTTTAAGTCCCAACTCAAGCTAAGCAAAAATTTCAGGCTATGTACCATGCTGGATTTATGATATAATTCAAGAATATAAAGGAGAGGCGAGGTGTAGGACACCAATCACTGTGAAACATGCATTTTGTTTGCTTCACAGGGGTAGAAATTACATTTAAAATTCAAATGATTTATTTGACGTTGGCATAGTACTTAACCCATACAGATTTGACACAAAATCCATGGCTAAAATTGGCAACATCCACAAAAGCTATTTTGGCTGGTGATGGTTAAGTTATCACTCTGTTTAAATACTATCTGAGATTTTGTTGGCTGCATAATCTGCATACTTGATTCCAACAGAATGCATACTAAATTGTAAGCAAGATTTGGATTATTGTGTCCTATACATTCCAAAAGTGTCTGGATGGTGTACTATATCCAATGGATTTTCGGAGTGAGGATCTGTGTATGCCTTCGAGTTTATAATGCCCACAACCCCTTGTACTATGGATGAGGAGAGATTCTCTCTTGACCTTTTCAGTTGTAGAAAAATGTGAGGAATGTGAGGCTGAAACTGCCACGCATTTATTTAAATGTATGAACCTAAAAGTTAAGTGTAGGAATAGTTCACTCGAAAATGAAAATCATTTTTTCACTCTCATGTCATTCCCAACCTGTATGACATTCTCTCTCTCTTTTTTTTTTTTACCCTTGAAGCAGAAAAGGAAAAATACTGAATAATGTGCTGGCCATATTTCTACATGAAAATAAAAGGGACTCTGGGTGAATTCTAAATTTAAAAAGAGTACCACCGAATTATTATCAAAGTAGTCTATGTGAATTGTGTGCAAAGTCTTTTGAGGTTGTGAGATACTTTGTATGAGAAACAGACCCAAGTCATTAATCTTTCCCTTTACAGAGCTCTCAAATTGCATACTGGTTATGTCTCATTGATGTCAAATATTCTGAATTGCTTTTCATTTAGTGCAGATGTTGTATGAAGATACTTTTATTACAGCCCATTCTCACCCCCAAGGCGTCACTTAACTGACGCCTTGGGAAGCATTTGGACATGCTTCAATATCTGACGCTTTAGGCGCCCTTTAGCGTCAGTTAGATGACGCCCTAGGATCGCGTGTACCCTACCCCCACCCCACACCTAAACCTAACCGCGTCCTCTAACTGACGCTTTCCTTTAGCGTCAGTTAGATGACGCCGTAGGATCGCGTCATGTAAGTGACGCTAAAGGGCGCCGAAAACGTCAAATATTGAAGCATGGTCAAAGGTGACGCCTTGGGGTGAGAATGCGTTGTTTATTATACTTTGTTTGTATTTTAGATCATGATGGCATTTTCTTTTTTGAATGAACTGTTCTTTTTAGTAATAATGAATTTTAGAGCACTGAATTTAGCAAAATTTAGTTAGTGACGAAGTAAATGTAAGTGATAAAAATGAAACCGTTGTGATGTCAAATTGACCCCATTGTCAAAATGAGCACAATTTTAAGAAACGTTCACAAATATTATCAAATTGATCAGGCAATTTATCATTCACATTCATCTTTTTATCCACTCACATGCTAATAATGTGCACACTGAAGCTGGAAAGAACTGTTCTTTGTAAAACTCAAGTTTACTGACCTTAATTATTTGCACATTGACAGGCGTGACATCCAGTGCTCTTTCTATTGGGAAAATTTTGACACGTCATTACCTAGACTATAAATGAGCAACTAAATGCAATATGGTAAGGAAGTGGGAAGGTGATAGCTGTGGGACGTAAAAGAAAAGGACACTATCCTCCTTCCTTGTGCAGTGAAAAATGAGCAGAGATTGCTAATGACTGTTTTTATCACATACCTTCATTTATCCTAGTCTGGCACATTGTACGAATGTTCAGATTAATTGGTCTCTCTGACAATAGGTTTAATGAACATCAGGGTTCGACCATGAGGCATATTCATTTGATCTTCATCTGCAAGACGCGACTAATGGAATCTTTGTGAGATACTTCAATTGGAACATATAGGCTTCCATTATCAGTGTGTAGATTTCAACAAGGCCATTTGAGACTACTTCTGATTTTGCCTAAGAATACTAAGACAGAATTTTTGCAAAATGATACAGGTGATGACAGGATGAAAGAACATGACATTTTTTAACAGTTTAATCATTAGTAATATTCTATTTGTTTCCATTATATGTGAGTCAGTTCCATAAATTCTATGACACTCTGTCTTTTCAGTTTGTTTCACAGATTACATATTTAAGCCAATGGTGACCACTGATCTATATAAAATGGCATTATATAGATCAGTGGTGGTGACATGTTAATGTCTTTGTGTCGTGGATTCATTCAGTCACTGATTAAAGGCATAGTTCACCCATAAATGCAAATTAGCCCATAATTTACTAACCCTCAAGTCATTTTAGGTGTGTATATTACATTCTTCTTTCAGTCAAATACAGTCAGAGTTATATATATATATATAATAAATAAATAAATAATTAAAAAAATGTCCTGGCTCTTTCAAGCAATAATGCCAATGAATGGCTTTACTTTTTTTATGGTGATGGTGCAGTGGATAAGACACATGCCATTGGTGTGAGAGACATGGGTTCAAATCCACTGTAAGACACCAATGTTTCACTGAGAAAGACACTTAACCCAGTTGCTCCACAGGCGTGCAACCTTCTGATATGTATAGCAATTGTAAGTCGCTTAGTATAAAAGCGTCAGCTAAATGAATAACTGTAAAGGCCCTCTGAAATGAAGCGATGCATTCGTGTAAGAAAAATATCCATATTTAAAACTTTATCGGCTAAAATAACTAGCTACACATAAATTTACGTTGGAAGACACCCCTTAACCTAGACGCACCACGTAATGACGAACGCGGAAGCACAGAGGCTAGCAAAACAAAACACCATTCACAGAAGTCTAAAATTACCATTTTTAAAGAAAATGTCGGAGGAGTTTGTTGTTTGTTTGAACCGCAAGAGGCACCAAAGCTTACTCTACTCCTACATTCTAGTCGTACATCATCAAGTAACTCTTTTGGTGTAAGTCGACTTGCGTAGACCGTCTGCCTGAAGCTAGATATTTTAGTCAATAAAGTTTTAAATATGGATATTTGTCTTACACGAATGTATCGATTCGCTTCAGAAGGCCTTTATTAACTTCCCAGAGCCATGTGGAGCACTTTTATCATGGATGGATGCACTTTGATGATACTTGAAAAAGCCAGGACATTTTATTTTATATAACTTCGAATGTATTCGTCTTAAAGAAGAATGTCATATACACCTAGTGTGGTGAAATGGCGCTTCAAGCATGACTCCGCCCCATGTATATTTACAGAGCCTTATCCAGAGTCTATAAGGGGCATCCCCAGAGTAACAGGATATTGCATCATCATTGTGTCATCTGGGCATCATGGTTTCCGGTGCTCAACAGCTCTGTGTGTGAGGTGGGTGTTTGTCTGCCATAGCTATGGTGATTGTCTGTTCGCAGGTACTATTGTACCGCTCTGCATCACTGCTCCAGTTCCAGTTTACAATCGATCGCACGTAGAACACGGTGTGCTGTGAGTTACTGCTGCTCTTTTGCTTGGTAGGTCCATTGTATTGTGTATCTTCGAGTGTGGGACTGTGTTTATTTTGCGTAGGCTATGTATGACGCATAATTTTCTCTGTGTAGTAAATGGTATGAGAGAATGGTCTGCCGGATATTTGAACGGAAGTCCCGCTGATCGGTATGTAAACCCACTCATGTCTCTATGTCCACTTTAAAGTAATGTTAACCCTGTTTGCGTTTGATCGCAACTCTGATTAGTCTTGACGCTGCTGTTTTGCTTAGGGGTGTTTTGCTTATGGCTGTTTTGATTACGACTGTTTTTCTCATTGCAATATTTGGCTTATATTTGGAGATTAATTGATTATTGTTTTTTGTGGGGTTTGTTTTGTCTTTATTTTTGTAAGTGACAGTACATTCTTTTCATTTGTTTATTTTGTGTTAATTGTTCATGGCTGGCAACCCTAACAATTAATGCTGTTGTTTTTTTTTACATTTTCTGTATCGCTTGATTTTCTTTCTTTTCTAGGAGCAGGGGTGACCAAAAAGCGACCAGGCTAGCCATCCATGGTGAATGGAAACTCCTTTTAAGAGTATGGTGTGGGTTTTCTTGCAGTGGATTTCACTGGTGTGTGTGTGCTTTGAAAGTTTAGGGGACGGTGTACTTATTGTTTGCTGATTCGAAGTCCACTGCTCAGCCTGCCCAGCTAATGGCGCACCCCAGCTCCGTGACGAGAGCCTGCATTTGTGTCCTTATTGGACTTAGTTGCTCATATACAAGTCAGCTCAAATATAAATCAGTGGCCTTGTCTTCCATATCAACAGTTTAAAATACCACTAGGGTCATTAAACAATTTCAGTCAGGACCACTTGAGTCAAAAAATACCAAAAAAAGCAATTATTTTCCAAAATATTTATTTGCATGATTGTTAAAGTTACATTTGGCGGTATGGCCCTGTTCTGAATTACCATCCTTTTCATGAGCTCCATGAAAGCTAGTCAGGTAACAGCAGCAGCTTCTGGGGACAATTTCCCATTTAACTGGGAAAGCAGCAAACAATCCCCCTTTGAGAACAGAGCATGCATCAGTGAAAACAGATTGACACCGATTAAGTTAGACGAAGTTGAAGGAGGAGCTAGGGGAGGAGGTGGGTTGCAAGCATGCAGTGGAAGCAACTGAGCAAACAGACTAAAAGATGCCTTTAAATAAGGCCCTTGATTGAAAGACTAATTGAAGGCGTATCCATCGGATCAGCTGATAGACCGTTATCAGCTGATAGCAGAGCTTGACTACGCGGCCTGCCTGAACTAACGCCGCACGCTAGATTTATGATCATTGAATAAAGAGAATTTTTTTTTTTTTTTTTCTGTTTGTATTCATGCCTCAGTGTTTTGTAATTGTGGGAAGGAGAACAAACTTGTGTGCCCTTTTACGGCTATTTCCCCTGCTGGTTAAATGCTGGGGTGGCATAGTCATTATTTATTAGAGCTCTGTATTGGAGAGTGCAGCCCTCTCTATATCGCCACACTAGGAATATTTAAGGATGAGTAAATCAAGGGCTGATTTTCATTTTTGGGTGAACTATCCCTTTAATTCAAAAACTAATTCATTTAGGAATAAATAGCAGACTCATTTCAGAGGCTGTATGTTCTTAGGCAACCCGGTCTCATCCCAAGACGTCATATAACTGACGTTTTGGGACGTCTTTTGACCATACGTCAATATTCGCCTTTTTAGGGCCCCCTTAAACGTCGGTAGATGAGGTTATGGGATCCTAACTCTACCCCATACCTAAACCTAACCCTAAACCTAACCCGTCACCTAACTGACGTTAAAGGTAAAGCGTCAGTTGTATGACGGCCCGGGATCGCCATCTACCGACGTTTAAGGGGGCCCTAAAAAGGCGGATATTGACGTATGGTCAAAATATGTCCCAGAACGTCAGCTGTGTTATCTTAGGTGGGCAGATCCTTCTAAATGAGACACAGCTACTGTCTGTATGAGTTAGTAATTAAATAATTAACTCAACCAATCTGATCAAAAACATTCAGCACCAAAACCAACTGAAAAAAAAAAAGTGTAATTCAAGACAAACATTGCTTCCTCCGCCACCTCAACTCCTCACCCTTGTTTATTCCTAACGCCAGCCAGGGTTGGGGGATTTCTGGGTTCGGGCCAAATTTCAAGCTCAGAGCCCTTTCCTCGGACAGCAAGCCAAATGTGCTAATTAGGGGCCAAGCACCGAAGGTGCGGAGGCACCTATTGTATCTGTGCCGGTTCCTATTATTAGGGGCCAAGCACCGAAGGTGCGGAGGCACCTATTGTATCTGTGCCGGTTCTTATTATTATTATTAGTGGTGCTTGCAAAGCAACACTATTGTTATCCTCCATACTTATTAATCTTATTTTTTTACTTCCGCCCTTTTTTTGGCACGCTACTCCTCCCGCAGCTTTTGTCACAGACCCATGGGTGAGGTGTCAAATCGACCGGCTCATTTAGGAGAGGTGTGCTATGACTTTTCTAAGAGATCGGGGGTACGATGGTCGCCCCAGGGGCGAAAAACGGCCAAAAAAAATCCCATAGACTTAACATTGCGAAAAACTTTGACGGGTCATAGCTCTGAGCGAGGATTTCGTAGAAATCTGTGATTTACCACATTTGAAGAGGCTGGCAGGCTCTGTAAGAACATACCACACAATGGGGTAAAAGTTGCACCCCTGGGGGGCAGGAGGGGCCCAAAGTTGCCCCATAGACTTACTATGGTGAAGGACGTCCCATCAAATGCATGTGTTTTTCCTACTATGGTAAATTGCATAGGGATTTTGCATTGAACATAGCTCTGGATCACAGTGTCATAGAGACAAGGGGGCGGGCTCATTTTACTCAGACGACCAATCAGTCCCTCAGGGTTATTGTGAAGGTATTAAGCCACGCCCTAGCAACCATATAGAGCACCTTAGCAACAACTCCCATAGACTTCCATTGAAAGAGATCAAAGGGATATCTCAGGATAGAAGTGTCATAGAAACACAAGGGTGGTCTCGTTTGACTCGGGGTAGCAAACAGCCAATCATGAATAACCTCAACAATTTCTGGCTACGCCCTAGCAACCATTATCAAGGACCTTAGCAACCAAATTTTAAAGAGGTATATCTTCCATTCTGAATGTCAGAGAGGCATGGGAGTTGTATTATATCAATCAAACTGACCAGCAGCCTTTGGAGATTCATGATTGGCAAGTGCCAAGCCACTCCCTAGCAACCAAACAGAGTACCCTAGCAACCATTTTGCAAGACCTATATCTCTGCATCAAAACATCGTATAGAGATGGGGGTTGGTTTATACATTCACATTGACTGTGGAGCTTCATGATTGGCAGCTGCCAAGCCACTCCCTAGCAACCAAACAGAGTACCCTAGCAACCATTTTGTAAGGCCTATATCTCTGCAATAAAATATTGTATAGAAATGGAGGTAGGTTTATACATTCACATTGACTTTGGAGCTTCATGTTTGGCAGCTGCCAAGCCACTCCTTAGCAACCAAACAGAGTACCCTAGCAACCATTTTGAAAGACCTATATCTCTGCATCAAAACATCATATAGAGATGGGGGTTGGCTCTTTTTACTCATGCTAGCAAACAGGACTTGCTACATGCTACACATGCTAGCAGTGAATAGCTACATGCTAATATTTATTAGCTAAGTGCTAAATCATGCCATGAACATTATAAAAACTCTATAGTAACCATATATGAACACTACCAACCACCTAGTAACACCATAGCAACTACCCAAAATACCATAGCAACCACCCAGAACACCCTAGCAACACCCTAGCAACCATCCATAACACCTTAACAACACCCTAGCAACCACCTAGTACCACCTTAGCACACCCTAGCAACCACCCAGAACACCCTAGCAACCACCTAGCAACCACATAGCAACACCCTAGCAACCACAAAGAACAACCTAGCAACCACCCAGAATACCCCAGCAACCACCTAGCAACACCCTAGCAACCACCTAGCAACACCCTAGCAACCACCCAGAACACCCTAGCAACCGCCTAGCAACACCCTAGCAACCACACAGAGCACCTTAGCAACTGTCTAGCAACCACCTAGCAACACCCTATCAACCACCCAGAACACCCTAGCAACCACCTAGCAACATCCTAGCAACCACCCAGAACACCTTAGCAACCACCTAGCAACACCATAGCAACCGTCTAGCAACCACCCTGAACACCTTAGCAACACCCTAGCAACCACCTAGCAACACCCTAGCAACCACCTAGCGACACCCTATCAACCACCCAAAACACCCTAGCAACCACCTAGCAACACCCTAGCAACCTCCCAGAACACCCTAGCAACCACCTAGCAACCATCCAGAACATCTTAGCAACACCATAGCAACCAGCCATAACACCCTAGCAACCGGGTGGTGAGTTTTGCCACTGCAAGCACCACTTCACATTTTCCTCTGGAAATGTACATTCTAGTTATTATTATTATTCTTCTTCCGACTGGGCGTCTATGGCAGCCCATAGACCGGTTTGCGGGAAAGTTGTTTTGGTTTGACATTCTGATAGAGGACAGTCCCAACTTTAAATACACCAATTTTGGTGTCTCTAACTCATTCCCTCTAGCGCCACCAACTGTCCAAAGTTTCACTTTTATTATGCTAATAACTTTTGAACCGTAAGGCCTATCAACAAAATTCTTTTTTCCTCTTGTTCCTGAGCTCATGCCGATTCGATCGCACCCTATGACGTCATTTTCCGTCATAAAAAAACGGCCGCCATTTTGAATTTTCCAAAAAACCTACTTTTGCGAACTCGTCCTAGACGGTTTGTCCGATTTTCACCAAAATCGCACCGGATCATCTCCAGGCAGTGCTGACAAAAAGTTATGGAATTCAAGATGATTCGAATAACCGTTTTCGATTAACGCGTAAACAAAATTTACGTAGCGCTTGCGAAAACAGACGTATGGTTGTATCTCCGCAACGCTTACTCGTTTTCAGACCAAACTTGGTACGTGTCATCACAAGCATGACCTGAGGCAACGTGCTGCGTTTCGGCGCAGCGCCACCTAGTGGTCCGGAGATATGAGAAATGGCTATTTTTGCTCGTAACTTCTGAACGGTTTCTCCAAAAATCAAAAACGTGGTCTCGTTAGATTCAGGGCGTCATGCCGAGTCGACCGATATCCAATTTTCCCAGATCGGCCATTTTGGCTGTCGGCCATTTTGAATTATGTGCTAAAATGCTGTATTTTTTGAACGCATGAACGAATTGTTACGAAACTCGGTATGGGTCATCAGTACGATGCCCTGAAGGAGCCTGAGAAGTTTCGAAACAGCGCCACCTAGTGGTGAATTGTTTTATTCAAACGCTTATAACTTTGGGTGTGGTACACTTATTTTCACGGGAGTCATATTTTTGAGGTCCTGAATCGTTGCCGAGTCCAACGATACCAAATATGTCGGGTTTCGTCTCACGGATGGCGTAGCGTAGCGATTTAGCGCGAAAAAAACACTTGGCGATATCTTCAAAACCGCTGTTCCGATCGAGACGAAACCACCGCCAGAAACACGGAATCATAGCTTGTTAACTACACGCTAATGCCCAAATGCGAAAATATTGATAGTAAGGGGTAGTAAAATTCAAACAAAGTCATGTGTCAGTCATTTTTTACGTGTTTTTTCATATAAATGTTTATAACTCGGAAGCGAATTGAGATATTTTCACCAAAATTGACACACATATGTATGGGGTCACTCTGAGGACACATAAAAAAAATTGTGGGACTGAGCCTCTTGGTGGCGCTATAATAGAACAAAACGTGAAATTCCCATTGACTTCAATAGAGTTTTGTGAAATAAAATGCTATGCTAAACAAATGCATTGGTGTAATATTACAAAACTCAGTGTGTGCCATAAGCAGCATGCCCTGAAGGTACTCAAAAGATTTTGAGACAGCACCACCTGTTGGTCAAAAGTCATAATTAATTTCTGAAAACGCTAATAACGTTTGAAAAAAAATGTGCCTATTGCAATGAAACTGATCTTAATTGATTCCTTGGGTTATGCTGAAAACATAGATATATGGTTTTGCATAATCAGCCAAACTTCCTGTCCGCCATCTTTATTTCTTTGAAAAA